GGAAATTTCTGCGTCTAGGGAGTTCAACTGTGCTTCACTTAGTTTTGGTAATCCCGCATTTTTCAAGTATGTCATCTTTTTTTTAATTGGATTCCCTCTTGAGCTTCTTTTAGAGGGCCTTGGGGACTAATATTATATAACTTTTTGTAATACTCCATAAACACTTTAATAATCTCTTTATTTGAGTGGACCAACTCCCCCTTTGAACTTTTTATCTTTTCTATATAGTTCCTATTTTTCTTTTTATTCAAAGCTCTCATTAGATATCTTCCTGGTCTGTCTCCCCATCTATATCTCTCGTTCAAAACCCTGTTGTATACTCTTCTCTTCTCCTCATCCATCAACCTCTCTAGCTCATCTTTTTTATCCAATAACTTCTGTCTCGTATCTTTTGTTATTTTCTTCTTATGTATCTGCTCCAAGTCCAATATTTCTCTTAATAGCCCACTGACCCTCTCTCTTCTTTCCTTTTTCTTCCTTGCTCCTGCCGCAATCAAGATTCCTCTTATGAATACCTTATGGCTTTCCCAGACTGTAGCTATCGATACTTCCTCTGTGTTTCGTTCTCCTTAAAGTATACCTTAATCTCTTTCTCGATTTTCTGAACTACATCCTCATCCAGAAGAAGAACCTCATTTAACCTCCACCCTAATCCTCCAGTCCACCTTCTTCCCCATCCCATTTTCATCACGACCGGAGCATGATCCGAGAACGTTCCTTGTCTCTATGTCAATTTTAACCAAGATGATCTATAAGTTGGTGGTCTATTAAGATGTAATCTAATCTCGAGTATATCTCATGTGCATTAGAGAAGAAGGTATAGTCTCTGTCTTTCATATGCATTATTCTCCAGGTATCCACTAGTTGATATTCATGCATCACTTTTTTCAAAGCTCTCAGAGACCTACTCCCCTCTCTTTGCACAGAAGAGGTATTATCCTTTTGTGGGTCCATACAGAAATTTAGGGTCTCCAGCTACTATCAAACGCCCTTTTTTAAATTCCATTAATTTTTTCAACAGACCCTTCATATACATCTCCGGGTTTTATTAGGGCAGTATATATTGGCCTAAAGTACACTCAATCCCCTGAAGTCTGCCTTTTAAGAATAAAAACCTCCCCTTCCGGGTCGGTTCTTCTATCCTCCAGCTCAAATCTCATATTCTTTGCCAAACCTATTGCAACCCCTCTTTTGCTCTTTTAATTGGAGAATCTGCATAGTATCATATTGGATAGTGTTTGGATTTCAATTTCACGTTTGCCTCTATCTCAAAGTGCGTCTCCTGTAAAAATACCACTGACGTCGCCCTATGATGTAACTCATTAAACAACCTAAATCTCTTCCCTGGACAACTCAGCCCGTTCACATTATAGGTTATTAAACTGTATTTCTTCCATCCTTCCCAGTTAACTCCATCTCTCTTCCAGGATTGCCTCTTCCTCTTTATCCCTTCTGTCATGCAGAGTAGTTAGGATAACCAATTTTACCTCCTCCCCTCCCTCCCTCCCTCCCCACCCAAACTCCGTCGCCTCCCTCCCCCCTCCCAGCCCGCCCCCCCCCCTTTTTCCCCCCCCCCCCTCACCCTCTCTTCTTTTTCCCCTACCCATTTTTAGGCCTATAAAACTGCCTACAAATCATTTGTGGATCCATTTCCACCCATTGATTTAAAATTTGGGGCGTAAGTTCGCCTATGTACGGCTCACCTCTCCTCCACCCCCCCCCGATTCCCTCTCTCTATCATCAAGGGCTCAGCAAGAATTGTTACTCTTTTACCTCCCTCCCCTAACCGGAGCCTCCAAGCGGGTCTCAACATTCCAGAGGGGGAAGACAGGGGCGAGAGAGGGAAGTAAGAGAGAGAAGGAAAAAAAAAAAATCATTTCCTACTTAATTCTCCCTCTTCTTCCTCCCCAACCCGGGCCCTCCCACCCCTCCCACCGACATTGTTGCAGTCCTCTTTTCTTGTATCATTTGTATTTCTTCTGTCTTCTTTTTCTTCTTCCCACCAGCTATCTCCATTCTTTGCAAGTTCAGTCTATCACAAAAATATCTCTTATATCCTCCGGAAAATCTCAGATACGCTGTGACCCCATTTTTCCAGCCAATTAGAGATGCTGAGGTACCCCATCTATACTGCACATTCTGTTTTCTCATTTGCTCCAACACGGGTTTCAGGGATCTCCTTCTCCTTAGGGTCTCTACTGTTAAATCCGCATAGATTTGGATAGTCAAGTCTCCAAACTTAATTAATGATCTTCCCTTGGTCTTCTTCCAAATCTCATCCTTGACCCCAAAATTTTGGGAACTGGACAATTATGTCTCTCGGTCTTTCCTTCTCAGTAGCCTGTTTGAACTTTCCTATTCTAAACACTCCGTCTAACTTGATCCCGTCTGTTTCAGGTCTGTCTTTTATGGAGTTTAGGGTTTTTTTAACTAATTCATATAGTATTCCCGCTTAGCAGTCTCTGGGATTCTCCGTATCTAAGATTACACCTTCTTTTCTTTATTTTCTTGATCTTCCATCCTATAGATCATTTTTTTTTTTCTGGTTATTTTCTAATTGGCTTATTTTTTCCCTTAGATTATCTATGTTCTGGGCCTGGATTTTAACTTTCTCCTCCATTTCTTCTAATCTTGATAGCAGATATCCTAAGTCGTTTCGAATAGCTGTCATTTCATGTTTTATCACTTTTTCCAAAATTTTTAAACATTTCTACCATCTCCTTCTTATTTGGTATTTGTAGTTTCACCGTCAGATCTCTTTTTTTCCCAAGCCATCCACTGTTTGTTTGGCCGCTACTGCTATTCATGCCCAATGATAATCTAGGGCTAGATCCTGAACTAGTGTCCATTTCTCCCTTTGCGCTTTGGGCCCTTTCTGGCGTAATAATTCCATATGATGTAAGTTTCTTTATTGTTCCTGTTTGGGACCCTTTGGGCCCTGCTCCCTTGGGACCTTTGTTCTTCCATATCCTCTATATAACTTAATAGACTTGCAATTTTTCCTATATCCTTTATTCTCTTGGGACACCTGGGTCTCCTCTCTTCTTCTCTTCTAACTCCTGGGAATCCACCCCTCCTTCACCCCTTGGTCGCCTGTGTCGCTCAGGGGTCCACACCACAATAGGCCCCCAACAGCTTTCACTCACCCTTCCCTTCACCGACGGAGAGTCAAGACTTGTTTGGAGGGCCTTCACTGCTGCTCAGTCCTGGGGGGGGGATTCCTCAGGGATTCAGGATCAAACAGTCGGCCAGGAGGTACAAACAAGCTACGAGCCGGCATCCCCCTGTCACATCAGATCAGCCACCCTCTAGCCGCACGAATTTCCAGCCATGTAGGGCAGGGAAGCCGGCGTGTCACTGCCTCCCTGTCAGGAAACCGGCCGGCATCTCCACTTCCCAGTAGTCCTTTGCGCGGCGAGCGGCGTGCTCACACCGCCCTGCATCGATTCCCCGGCAACCCGACAGCTGCACTGGGATCTCTGCAGCGTGTTCACCTCCCGGAGGTCCGTGCCCGCTCTCCACTGCCTTCACCGCGCCAGCCTCTCCTCCCTTGGAGCCCACCTCAGTCAGGTAGGGCTTCGCACCATGAGGGTCTCGGGGATGGTCAGTTTGGAGTTACGGGAGAGCACTCACATCGTGCTCTCCGTCGCCGCCATGTTTAGGCTCCACCCCCCAGCGCAGAGATGGTGCTTCAACCATAAATGTGTGACAGATACAGTTGCCAACATTGTTTCTTGCAGGAGCACAGCCTCCACAGTTGCATCTCATACAGAGTTTTCAAGCCTTGTCAGTGCTTCTCCCAGGGTAATTTCTGCCATCAGCAGCATTCAAGATGTCTTTCTTCACATTCCCATCTTTTCCAAAACACCAATGCTTTCAATTTGTCTCCCTCCCTTTTGGAACTGCTAAGATCTCCGGGCATCCATGTCACAGGATACCTAGACGAGCTGCTACTGAGAATCCTCAGCCACTGTTTTATCTTCCAGATTTCAATTGATGATTCAGCTCCTTCAAACTTTTGAATGGGTGTTCAACTTCAAGAGGTCTGCCTTCCAACCTTCTCATCGGCTAGAGTACAATGGGACTGATATTTTATGTAAGGCCCGTGCCAAAATTTTCCTTCCCTGGGAAAACATTGCTTTTCTATGGTCCAACCCTCAGTCAGGCTCTCAGATCAACCAGGCATCCCTCTATTTGTTTTTGATGAGTGTTCTGGGCCTTATGCTGGCCCTCCTTCGTGGCAGTTCCCTTAGCTCAGTTCCATTCCAGAGCATTTCAGCTGAAGATTCTCATGATGTGGCACAAATGGACTGTGTCTATGAAGGGCAACCTACCCGATGGGACACTGACAGCAAAACAAAACCTGTTAGGTTCTTAATCATAATCTTTTTTTTACTCTATGGGAATGTTTCATCTAAAAAAAAATTTTTTGAGTTTTACACAGCTTTGCCAGACAGTAGCAACTGGCTTGTTACCTGAATTTTTTCTATGCTGCATGCACAGCTTAGTGTTCAAATCGTGGAATATCTTGGTGCTATGATGAATTAATTACCTTCTGCATGTGTGGGGGTTACGTCATTCTGGACCAGCCAGTCAAAGATGACCAATGATGCCAATCCTGGAAGACTGCGCAATGGTGTTAGCGCCAGCAGGGGTACTTTGCAGACATTGCATTGCTGGAGGGTAGGTAAGTATAATGAACTTATGTTCGATTTATGACAAAAGAGACCTTTTAGGGTCTCTTCTGTTATAAAACCCTTGTCTGTCAGTGGATTTTGTATTTATTCAGTTTACTTCCACTTTACAACTCTTAAGATTTTAGAAAAACTTTAAGCTTCCATAAAAGCTCTCAGAAATTGAGCAGTGATGTGGAACATTTGAGTGTAATAAAGTGAATTAGAAAAACTGATGTCTTGTTTTCCGCACGAACATAACTTTAAAATTTACTAGCTGAATAATGTAATATGACCTTGGGATAATGCAGAGTGTTTCCTTTTCAGGGCTGAGGGGAGCAGCAAGATACAGGCTCGCTTAGAACAACAGTCTGCTCGTTCTTCACAGCCAAGCTCCCAGTTTAAGACCCCATCCAAACCATCTACCGGACCTAAAACCTCTCCAGTGAAGGATCATCCATCTCCAGAGCCTCAGCTTGATGACATCAAGAGAGGTAGAGATAAAGCTGAAGAATAAACTAAAAATTAAGGCAGACCTTTCATATACTCAAATAACTTTGTTGCTCTCGGCTTCTCCCCCTCCCTCTTTCACAATTGCAAACTCTTACCTTACTTTTAGAAAGGTTTTTAACCTTTGGCCACATGCTCACAGGGTGGAAAACTAATACAACTTTTAGAGGCATTTTTCATCATGTGTTTTGACTGAATGCAGCCTTGTTTCAGCCAATGTATCCATGCACTTTGTAGTGTTTAGATTCAGTGAATGAATATTCAACAGAATACGTATATGTGCATACACTTCCAAACTCCATACCCATAAGTATGTGTAATTGCACACCAAAATTAGCATTTTTTACGCTATATTTTTTCTGCCAGTTCCTGCCAGAAATATCCAACGTAGATGGGTGTATTTTAACGCGCCCATGTGCATGCAACGTTTTTAGTGCTGTTTTCTCACCTAAGCAATGGTCCCCTTCTGCTGCTTCTTGGGATGTTCACATCACACACTGTGCGTACCACAGGGCTTAAGGGCTCAGCAGATATCTGTGGCACATCTACACACATGCGAGATACGCACACATACACGTAGACACAGCAGGTATCAAGGTTCCAGATATAATCGGTGTGTGTGCATTTGGAAATCCTTGCATGTGGACAGATGTGCCACAGGTCTCTGCCAAGCCCTAAGACTTGACAGAAACCTGCGGCACAGCTGCACATACACGGGATAACCAATGATGGTGGGACCAGATTCTCGCAGGGCTAAAGTCTCTCTTCAAAATGAACCTGCCGCTTCTTAAAATAATTTAGACAGCTGCTACCTGCAAAGGAAGAAACTGAATACTGGCCTTTCCAGGGAGCATCAAATAAAACCGTCAATGTTTTCATAAGCTCTAGGTACAACTGCTGTCTGGGTGTGTCCTCTGGGGGATATATTAGTAAAATGAGTTATAGCTATTTCTAGTATTATATTTTGTGTGAATAGAGCACTGTCATAATTGCTATATAACGCTTGTCTTTTCTGGATAATGTTTTTACAGTAATAGAGCATGCAATCACCACCTGTCAGGCACCGCCCGGCGGGATCTCTAGTGACCCACAGAACAGGATTCCCCAGGGCGCGGAGTCTAAGCCCCAGTCTGCCTTTTCACCAGAGCCCCTGATGGTGGGGATGGACTTGGTGCGAGACTGAAACCAGGTCGCGACCCCTGAGTGCACCCAACTCTGGTAGAGGGGTCCCGCCGAGGGTACGTGCCGGGGGGGTGAGCCTGCTGTGAAGAGGCTGACAAGTCCAGGTCCCGAGCGGGATGGATGGATGACAGTCAAAAGGTCCAGGTCCCGAGCGGGATGGACGGATGACAGGAGTGAGCGTAGTCAGACTAGCCAGGTCGGTAACGGTGGAGGCAGGTAGGTACCAAACAGTAGACAGAGAGCAGCCGGGTCACGAGCCAAGGTTCAGCAACGGGCGGTCCAATAGTAATATACAACAGGCAGGAGAGTAGTCAGGGATGAGCCGGGGTTCAGAGCAGGAGAAGGTCAACACAAATCAGGACAAGCAGGATCGGCAACAGGAACACACTTCAGAACACGGGTACAGGAACTAGACCTTGCGGCAACCTAGTCACCGTCTGGCCAGTTTAAATAGTGCGCCCTGCACAGTCATTGGTGCAATTACCGACGCCCAGGTCCTAGTGCCTGCACATTAGTGCACCTAGGCAATCTGTGTATGTGCAGACCTGTGCGCCGCTGCGAGACCCGCAGTCCCTGACACCACCTCCCCCACTGCCAGTCTCTTATGAAAGTCAGCTATGTTCATTCTAACCAATAAATAATTACTAATAGTTATAATATAGAAAGACTAGGAAACCGTTATCTCCAATTGCTTATATGGAATGTTTGTTCACTTGTCATAGAACTGAGAGCAGAGGTTGATATGATTGAACAGATGAGCAGCAGCAGTGGATCCAGTTCGTCTGATACAGGAAGCTCCTCAGGGAGTGATGATGATAGTTCTAGCAGTGGAGCAGAAGATGACACACACACATCCCCTTCTCAGCAGTATAGCAATCGGACATCTGTCTCCAATGGTACCAACAGAGCCCAGGGATCAAACCAGCTTATGAACACTCTTCGTAAGTAAAGCCTTCTGCTTTTCAGGCCTTGTTTAGTATTACATGGTTTGATGTTGTACAGTGCAGCTGTAATAACTATATCTACTTGATGGACGAACCACTTTTCAGCAATCAGACTACTTTTCCTGAAAATAATTTGCAGTACTCAAGAGGAATGTGTGGATAAGGGGCACAGATATGATTGAGTATTCAGGTGTACTAATGTACTAAAATCCATAAAATGTGTGCAGTAAAGGATAATTCAAACTTGTTGACTTGTTAGACTTGTTGGGTTCAGAGAAAGTTAGGCAGGCCGTACATTATTACATTACATTACATTACATTGAGAGTTTATATAGCGCCAAAGGGTTTGCTCAGCGCTGTACAATAGAGGGGGGGACAATACATGAAACATTACAGCAGCTACGAACAGCACACGAGGGGTAAGAGGGCCCTACTCTTTCGAGCTTACAATCTGGGAGGGAGGGGGTAGTGGTACAGGAGGAAGTGGCTGTGGGGGATGGAGTGGTAGGAGGAATGAAGGAGAGCAGCAGTTAGGTGAGGGTGGGGTAGGCTTCCCTGAAGAGGTGGGTTTTCAGGGAGCGCCTGAAGGTGAGGAGGGAAGGTGACAGTCTGATGGATTGGGGTAGTGAGTTCCAGAGGATGGGGGAGGACCTGGAGAAGTCTTGCAGACGTGCGTGTGAGGAGGAGACCAGGGAGCAAGATAGAAGGAGGTCCTGTGAAGAGCGAAGGGTACGGGTAGGGTGGTACTTGGGAATCAGGTCGGTGAGGTAGTTAGGGGCAGTGTTGTGAATGGCTTTGTAGGTCAGAGTGAGTAGTTTGAATTTGATGCGTTGGGCGATAGGGAGCCAGTGGAGGGAGAGGCAGAGGGGGGTGGCAGAGGTGGAGCGGCTGGTGAGGTGGATGAGTCTGGCAGCTGAGTTCAGGATGGTCTGAAGCGGGGAGAGTTTGCACTGGGGTAGGCCGGTGAGGAGGGAGTTGCAGTAGTCAAGGCGTGAGATAATCAGGGAGTGCACAAGTAGTTTAGCGGTGTCTGGGGTAAGGAAGGTGCGTATTTTGGCGATATTGCGGAGGTGGAGCCTGCATGTGTTTGTCAGTGATTTGACATGAGGTTGGAAGGAGAGGTTAGAGTCCAGAATGACCCCAAGGACTTTGGCTTGCGGGGCGGGATTGATGGTGGTGATGTTAGTAGTGATGGATAGGATGGGGGGGGGGGCGCGGGCAGGAGGGAAGAAAAGAAGCTCGGTTTTGGAGAGGTTGAGTTTGAGGAAATGGAGCGACATCCAGTCAGAGATGTCGTTTAGGAGGTGAGTGATGCGGGCGGAGAAAGTGGAGGTGAGGTGAGGGGTGGAGAGGTAAATTTGAGTGTCATCAGCATAGAGATGGTAGTTGAAGCCGTGGGAGTGTATGAGTTTGCCAAGGGAGGAGGTGTAGATGGAGAAGAGAGAAGGGGTCCAAGGACAGAGCCCTGGGGGACCCCAACAGAGAGGGGGAGGGAAGGGGAGGTGGCACCATTGTAGGAAACGCTGAAGGAGCGTCGGGATAGGTAAGAGGAGAACCAGGAGAGAGCGGTGTCTCTGACGCCAAGGGAGAATAGTTTATTAAGGAGGAGGGGGTGGTCAACTGTGTCGAAGGCCGCGGAGAGGTCCAGGAGGAGGAGGACAGAGTAGAGGACATTATGCAATTTCCTTTCCTGCAGATGGGGAATCCCTCCCGCGGAGCTTTTGTATTCTGACAGCAGGAAGTTTCCCAACCATCAGAATACAATTATCATTGCTGGTGACTATAGCTGCTGTCAATGATCGAACTAATAAAAACCTGACAGGCTGGTTGTACTGAAGTTGATCAATGAGTTGACTTCAGTACAACCAGCTTGCCCATAGATGGATCGAAATTCACCCGGTCCCTGTTGAACCATCCATCTATGGGTCAGCTTTACTCTGTCTGTGAAAAACAAGGTCAACTTTTGGAGTAAGATAAGTAAGTATTGATATTAAGGGCTTGATCACACCAAGAGGTGCGTCTGATCACGCATGCTTTTCTGCATGTCCGCACAAGTTGCGTTTTAGGGCAGTCTAACAATTTTCTATAGGCTGCCCTATGCATCAGAACTGCACAAAAAGGTGCAGGCATGATTTTTATAATCGCACTGCACCAAAATGCATGGTACTGTGGTACTATATGTTTTGGTGGCCATGCATGCGTTCACCAGATGCTCAGGAATACAATTAAAAATTGACGGCACCTGCACACATCTGTAAAAGGGCAGCACATTTTTGTGCAGTGAGGGAAAAAATTTGATTTTGCATGTGTTCCTGAACTGCACCTGGTGCAGGGCCGTGGATAAGGGGTACCACCAGTCCTCCTGTATGGAGCCCAGGCCAACAGGGGGGCCCAGGCAACTGGGTGAATCGAATGTGGGCAGGAAGGGTGATTGGCACGGCTGGGGGGCAATTATTGGAACTGATCCCCAGTATGGCTCTATCTGCAGCAGCTGAAAGCTGGCTTTTTCTCTTCTCCCTCCCACTGGCTCTCAGCTGCTGCAGAGAGAGTCATACAGAGGATCGGTTCCAGTAATTGCCTGCCTGTCGCACCCATCACCCTCTCTGTGCACCATACGTTTCCCCCCTGCTTCCCAGGCCCCCGTGTGTGCCCACCCCTGATGGGTTCTCTCCTCTCCTTTCCGCAGACGACTGCAAGCACACAATATGATCCTTCAGAATGGAGAGTGTGGGAATGGACCAGTAAATATGCCATGTTTACTAGCTCCTTCCTGTCCTGAATGAACACAATGAGTGATCGGGACTAATCACTCTCTGTGTTCATTCATAACTGAAGCATAGTAAGCTTTGTTTTTTTTTTTTGTGGGGGGGAGGGCCCTGTCAGTTTGGCTGTATGAGGCCCCATGGTTTCTAACAGCAGCCCTGTCTGGGAGTGTTTGGTAAGGTGGTAAACTACTGTATATCTAAAGAATTTTTTTTTTTAACAGGAATGGAGGATAAATCTTCCAATGGGAGACACATGCTTCAGTGGCCACAATATCAAATGGGCTTTTCTCCCTGTGCCCCAGCAAGAAAAAAAATTATCTCACAGAGTTAACTATTTCCTACTCTGAAGAAAAAAATACTTAAGGGTTGGGAGAAAGGTTGTGTAAAACCCAACACCAGTAAAATTAAAAAAATCCACCCATCCAGTGGGATTTTTTTAATTTTCCCAGAGTTGAGCTTTGAAGATCTTTACCCACAAACAATGTGATATCAAACACACATTCTGACATCCAGCACCTTAACCTTTTGACCACCAATGATGTGTTCACGCCCCCTTCAGTAGGTCATGGGCTCCCGTGCCTAGGGAGCCCACAGTAAAAGAGGACAGGATGGGAAATGGGGGAAGACTAAAAAGCATCTGTTTCTCAATCCTCTCAGCAGTAAATTAACCCAGAAACCCTCTGCTCAAATGACACAGAAGGTAATCTGCATGCATTCAGGCCATGGTAAAAGCATTTGTCATTTGATGTCTCTCTTTTCTTCAACTGCATTAGGAAATGACCTTCAGCTAAGTGAATCAGGAAGTGACAGTGATGACTAAAGAAGACACTTTAATCATGTATATATTTCATCTCATCATCTGCAGAAAAATATCCTCATTCAAACCCAAAGAGGTACTACGTCAGGTTTTTAGATGCTGGCTCCTGAGAAAAACAAGATTTTCAATTTTACTAATACAAGAATGGACACTTTACTTTTCTTTATGAATTAGACCTGTTCAAAAAGCTATTGTGTGTGGAGTTTTTGTAGTCGAGAAACTCTTGCCACCATGTTGGAGAGCTCTTAGACTCAATTCATGTAGCAGACGTTGTTAACTATTAGTTTAAACTGCTATTTAATTTTTAATGCCACCGCAGTCTTCATAATATTTGGGAAAACTAGAAGCCTGTTTTCTCTGCACTAGCTTGTAGTTGTGTAATAATGGTTTAAAGATTATTCCTGTGTGTGTATATGTATGTATATATATATATATATATATATATATATATATATATATATATATGCACGTATATGTATATATGTATTAATTTTAACTCTGTATTTATGTAATGGAAAGGGATAAAGTGTTTTCAAGTACTTCAGTCTCTTCCTGTGTGTTTGTGACACTTAAGACCTATCCAAAACAACATCTATGTATACAGAAAGGTTAGCAGTTGCAAATATTCAGAGAACAACACTGGAGTGAATATGGATTCATATATAATCATATTCTTTAGCAGAGCTGGACATTGAGCAAGTTGTACCCATCTAATGGCTCTAACAGAGCACCAGTCCTTATTGCTGTGCTGGGTTCTTTCTCCCAGCAAGTTCTCCAAGTCTGCAGCTAACCTGTCCACATGGCCAACAATTGACAACTTTTCCTTAGTAATAAAAATGGTAATCTACTACACATGTGCAACCTGGCAAGGACAGTATCCAAGAGGACACTGTACAGCTCCCAATGGTCTTACAACAAAGATCTCAATTGATAGTTGACAGGTAAGTGGAATACTTGTAGGAGTTGCTGGGGTAGGTGAGAACCACATTTTAAAAATAACTGTACTAAAAGTACTGGTATTCTTTAGGGATGAGTGAGTCTGCCAGGGTTCAGTGTGCTGGGGGTTTGTCATATCCTGCCTGAAATAAATAATGCTGAGCAGTGAATCCTAATGAAGTGTATTGGGGGTAAATCTTGATATTAAATTCTGACCATTTTTAAGGCTAATATTCAAGCTATTGTCAAAAAAGGGTGGATGAAATTGGAAAAACGCCAACTTTTGAATTACTCGCTTTGGATATGCCTTTGCCATATATGTGGCACCACATATTTTGGATCTGTAGCAGCAGCAGGACCTTAATCTGAATCATTTCAATATTGACACATGCCCATATCTAGCCAATGTGGAAGTTCAGATAGAGGTGAGCTCAGAGGACACCCAAGCTCATCTTTACTTACCAACTGTCTTTGATTTCCTGGTACAGTCTAGTTTTTCAGTCAGTAGTCCCACGACAGCTGTGTCTTGGGATCACAGCTTGAGGCTTGCGGTTCAGTCTGTATGTGCTGGTATACATTCAAGGGGGTACCCAGAACACAACAGCTGCAGCTCACTAACTGGTAAATCCTCTCCTGTTGCTATAGGCTGCAAGTTTCAGGTATGCGGGCACTGAGCACTTCCAGACGCATATGCTGAAAAAAGAGAGTGGTGGTTTGCGGCAGGAGGATGAGGAACATGATGGGACTACAGCTAAATTGGTTTGGACTGGCTGGCCCATGGAGGAAGAAGCCGCTGTGTGTTCTGAATTTGTTGTCTCTGGAACTGGAAGAGGTGAGTCAGCCGGCTTGAAGGGGCACGTCAGTGACACACAGAGGGGTCACTTTTCCATCAATGAGGATTACAGGAGTATAGTGCTGTCATCTGCATGGGACATGACCAATGCTCCTGTGTTGCTCTATGCACTACAATGCACGGTAACACACTACAATGCTTTGTGGTATGCTGCGTTGCTAAAATAGTGCTCACACAGGTGTGACGAACAGGAATTGCTGTTGTGATATTTTAGTAGCATAATTGAACAATGTCAGAAAAGTGACCCTGTAGCTTGAAAGTTGTCTAAAAGACAATATTTCCCTATGAAGTTGCATACTGGCTGGGCCAATTCAATGGGGGTTATTTACTAAAACTGCATGGTGCAAAATCTGGTGTGGTTCTGCAAAGAAACCAGTCAGCTTCCAGGTTTTATTGTCAAAGCTTAATTGAAAAAGCTAAAGTTAGAAGCTGACTGGCTGCCACGGCACCATACCGTGACACTAGCGACCCTGTTGCTAGTTAGGATTTGCCACTGTCAGAATCTTTAGAAAATGCAGGGAGGACACATACTTGTGTAGCTTCTGTGCTGGCCTTGTCACTCCTTCTGAGTTCTGAGTATTCTAAGGCTCATGTGCATAGCTATATAATGTAAGTTCTGGTGTATTTCCCGTCAGGGAGCCCAAATGTGCTTCATATAGCTTCCTAGAGAAACTCAATGGCTGTACGCATCCATATGTGTGTATATGCAGGTACCTGTGTAAACACACATTTGCATATGGGCGCACATCTCTGGACAAAGAAATTTGCATCCAGAGTTGTATGCTTGGAAATATTTGTGTGTTCAAGCAACTGCTTGCATATACATGCGTACAGCCATTGACCTCCATAGGCTCCTGGACAGGAAAATACCCTGGAATTTACATTATCCAGACAGATGTGGCCATGTACAAGAGCCCTAATTGTATTTAAATACTTACCGTATGTTATGTATGTAAAACATTGATTTGATTTGTTTTTAGATTTTTGCTATGTACTTTAACCCATCCATGGTGGTATATATGTACGTGATACAATTGATCCAGTGGACCTTCACTCCCAAAAATGAGTTTGCATATTTTCAAAACCTCCAAAGTCCTAAGACAGTTTATTTATTTTTGCGTTGGCCCGCCCCCTGCCTCCATTCTCTCCTAGGTGAGAATGACATATACCTAGCTCCGGACAGTGCCTGGAGGAGGACGTACCTATGGGCTTATCATTAGGGATGGGTGCAAGAACCCAAAAGAGTCAGCCATCTCCGATGATGTCAGAGGGGAAAAACCTGGTGTGTTGGGGCAGATCACAGCAGAACAACGCTGGGCATGTGAGTATGTTTTTTTCAGCAAATCACATTTAAAAAAGATAAGGGGTTAACAGTAAAATTAACCAGGGGGGAAAGGAGACGATACATGTATCAATTTAGGTATCAGTAAATGCAGACAAGCAATTCATCAACATTAAAATTAGAGATGAGCGAATCGAACATGGCGAAGTGGAATTCGTTTCGAATATTGGGAAATATTCGATTCGCGCCGAATCCGAAAATTAGCCAACTTTGGATGCACGAATCGAATTTTCCCCAAAAATGGCGGCGACATGTGTGGCGACGGAGCGGGGATCTCTGGGAAGGCGCGCAGACAAGGCGCGCTGACCCATAATGCATTCATTCATGACATGTGATCGCATTAGCCAATCAGCAGCCAGCCAGCCAGCACTGTGTAATGGTGGAGCTATAAATTGCGGCCATCTTAGAATTCTCCATTAGCCTCTGTCATTCAAGAGAGACAGACCTGTCTGTATTAGGGACAGAGTTAGGGCCAGAGAGACTTTAGGGCCACAGAATCGTTACTTAGGGACACAGAATCGTTACTTAGGGACACAGAATCGTTACTCAGGGACACAGAATTGTTACTCAGGGACACAGAATTGTTACTCAGGGACAGACACAGAATTGTTACTCATGGACACAGAATTTTTACTCAGGGACACAGAATTGTTACTAGGGACACAGAATCGTTACTGAGGGACACAGAATTGTTACTCAGGGACACAGAATTGTTACTCAGGGACACAGAATTGTTACTCAGGGGACACAGAATTGTTACTCAGGGACAGACACAGAATTGTTACTCAGGGACACAGAATTGTTACTCAGGGACACAGAATTGTTACTCAGGGACACAGAATTGTTACTCAGGGACACAGAATTGTTACTCAGGGACACAGAATTGTTACTCAGGGACACAGAAATTGTTACTCAGGGACACAGAATTGTTACTGAGGGACACAGAATTGTTACTCAGGGACACAGAATTGTTACTCAGGGACACAGAATTGTTACTCAGGGACAGACACAGAATTGTTACTCAGGGACACAGAAATTGTTACTCAGGGACACAGAATCGTTACTCAGGGACACAGAATCGTTACTCAGGGACACACAGAATTGTTACTCAGGGACACAGAATTGTTACTCAGGGACACAGAATTGTTACTCAGGGACACAGAATTGTTACTGAGGGACACAGAATCGTTACTCAGGGACACAGAATTGTTACTCAGGGACACACAGAATTGTTACTCAGGGACACAGAATCGTTACTCAGAGGGACACAGAATCGTTACTCAGGGACACAGAATCGTTACTCAGGGACACAGACACAGAATTGTTACTCAGGGACACAGAATTGTTACTCAGGGACACAGAATCGTTACTCAGGGACACAGAATTGTTACTCAGGGACACAGAATTGTTACTCAGGGACACAGAATTGTTACTCAGGGACACAGAATTGTTACTCAGGGACACAGAATTGTTACTCAGGGACACAGAATTGTTACTCAGGGACACAGAATTGTTACTGAGGGACACAGAATTGTTACTCAGGGACACAGAATTGTTACTCAGGGACACAGAATTGTTACTCAGGGACACAGAATTGTTACTCAGGGACACAGAATCGTTACTTAGGGAGGGCACAGAATCGTTACTGAGGGACACAGAATCGTTACTCAGGGACACAGAATCGTTACTCAGGGACAGACACAGAATTGTTACTCAGGGACACAGAATTGTTACTCAGGGACACAGAATCGTTACTCAGGGACACACAGAATTGTTACTCAGGGACACAGAATTGTTACTCAGGGACACAGAAATCGTTACTCAGGGACACAGAATCGTTACTCAGGGACACAGAATCGTTACTCAGGGACACAGAATCGTTACTCAGGGACACAGAATTGTTACTCAGGGACACAGAATTGTTACTCAGTTACTGACACACAGAATCGTTACTCAGGGACACAGAATCGTTACTCAGGGACACAGAATTGTTACTCAGGGACACAGAATCGTTACTCAGGGACACAGAATCGTTGAATTAAAGAGTATGTCAGACAACACGCAGCAGAGTGGCAGAGGAGGCAATGTTTCAGGAGCGAGCAGACGTGGCAGCAGAGGAAGGGGTCGAGGAGGCAGCACTAGTCGCAGCCAGAGGCCAGTGCTCCCGGTGTCATCCAGCGGTCGTGTCTCCACCGACAACCCTGCCGTCATCGATTGGTTGGCTCGGTCATCTTCCTCTTCCCAGGTCACCTCTGACACCTACAGCCAACGGTCGGTGGGTACGTCAGACACACCCGTTAGTTGGCATGGCCCGGGAGCAAGCCCACTGAAATCACGTTACCTCTACCTGCCCCTGTCCTTTGAATGTTTCCCTCACCAAGCAAAGTATCGCATGCTGTGGGCTCAGCCCCACTGTACAGTGAGGAAGAGCTAACAGAGGGCGGTCAGGAACGGGGGGGACATCCGCCTCTTCAGCAGCCAGGCGAAGAAGTACTGGCGAGGAGAGTGGCTCGGTAGCCGGTCTAGAGACAGGTCCTGTTACCTGACCCACACGCAGGACCGAGGGGGCTTAGTAGTGAGGCGGAGAACCCTAATTGATGATGATGAGGCTGATCGCACTTGGCAGCCTCGTCGTCATCAGGGCCAGGCCCAGTAATCTGTTACTGGGCCCTCCCGTACAGGACACCTCATGCTGCTGCAGCAGCCAGGCCAGAATCTGTTACATGGGCCCCTTACCGAATGTTACATGGGACACAGAATGTGTCACTGGGTCCACAGACAGCTGTTACATCAGCTGCTGACACAGAGAATCAGCCAGGGGACCAGAATTGTCACCTCACACTGGGGGGTTCCCACAGAATCGTCCTCAGGGACACAGAATCGATTGGGACACTGCTTGCTGCTGTCAGGCCCGTAATCTGTCATGGCCCACGGCCACATGTGCTGCCAGGGACACAGCCAGAGGAATGTCAGATGGTGTTCCCTCAGCCTCCCATGCGTTGCTCATGGTGGGTCCAATTTGTCATAGGGTGCTGGCAGATTACAGGGCCTCCCATTGCTGCTGCCAGGCCCGTAATCTGCCATGGGCCCCCAGATTACCGACTCCTCATTGCTGCTGCCAGGCCCGTAATCTGTCATGGGCCCCTGTACCGCCTCCTCATGCTGCTGCCAGGTCCAGAGTGTGTCATGGGTCCCTGTACGGCCTCCCATTGCTGCTGTCTCCATCGCCACACTCTGCCATGTGCCACTTTCAGGTCTCCTCACACTGCTGGTGGGTTCCATTTTGTCATAGGGTGCTGGCAGATTACGGGCCTCCCCATTGCTGCTGCCAGGCCCGTAATCTGCCATGGGCCCCCGTACCGACTCCTCATGCTGCTGCCAGGCCCGTAATCTGTCATGGGCCCCTGTACCGCCTCCTCATGCTGCTGCCAGGTCCAGAGTGTGTCATGGGTCCCTGTACGGCCTCCCATTGCTGCTGTCTCCATCGCCACACACTGCCATGTGCCACTTTCAGGTCTCCTCACACTGCTGGTGGGTTCCATTTTTGTCATAGGGTGTAATCTGCAGATTACGGGCCTCCCATTGCTGCTGCCAGGCCCGTAATCTGTGGGGCCCCTGTACCGCCTCCTCATGCTGCTGCCAGGTCCAGAGTGTGTCATGGGTCCCTGTACGGCCTCCCATTGCTGCTGTCTCCATCGCCACACTCTGCCATGTGCCACTTTCAGGTCTCCTCACACTGCTGGTGGGTTCCATTTTGTCATAGGGTGCTGGCAGATTACGGGCCTCCCATTGCTGCTGCCAGGCCCGTAATCTGTCATGGGCCCCCGTACCGCCTCCTCATGCTGCTGCCAGGTCCAGAGTGTCTCTCATGGGTCCCTGTACGGCCTCCCATTGCTGCTGTCTCCATCGCCACACTCTGCCATGTGCCACTTTCAGGTCTCCTCACACTGCTGGTGGGTTCCATTTTGTCATAGGGTGCTGGCAGATTACGGGCCTCCCATTGCTGCTGCCAGGCCCGTAATCTGTCATGGGCCCCTGTACCGCCTCCTCATGCTGCTGCCAGGTCCAGAGTGTGTCATGGGTCCCTGTACGGCCTCCCATTGCTGCTGTCTCCATCGCCACACTCTGCCATGTGCCACTTTCAGGTCTCCTCACACTGCTGGTGGGTTCCATTTTGTCATAGGGTGCTGGCAGATTACGGGCCTCCCATTGCTGCTGCCAGGCCCGTAATCTGCCATGGGCCCCCGTACCGACTCCTCATGCTGCTGCCAGGCCCGTAATCTGTCATGGGCCCCTGTACCGCCTCCTCATGCTGCTGCCAGGTCCAGAGTGTGTCATGGGTCCCTGTACGGCCTCCCATTGCTGCTGTCTCCATCGCCACACTCTGCCATGTGCCACTTTCAGGTCTCCTCACACTGCTGGTGGTTTCCATTTTGTCATAGGGTGCTGGCAGATTACGGGCCTCCCATTGCTGCTGCCAGGCCCGTAATCTGTCATGGGCCCCTGTACCGCCTCCTCATGCTGCTGCCAGGTCCAGAGTGTGTCATGGGTCCCTGTACGGCCTCCCATTTGTGCTGTCTCCATCGCCACACTCTGCCATGTGCCACTTTCAGGTCTCCTCACACTGCTGGTGGGTTCCATTTTGTCATAGGGTGCTGGCAGATTACGGGCCTCCCATTGCTGCTGCCAGGCCCGTAATCTGTCATGGGCCCCTGTACCGCCTCCTCATGCTGCTGCCAGGTCCAGAGTGTGTCATGGGTCCCTGTACGGCCTCCCATTGCTGCTGTCTCCATCGCCACACTCTGCCATGTGCCACTTTCAGGTCTCCTCACACTGCTGGTGGGTTCCCATTTTGTCATAGGGTGCTGGCAGATTACGGGCCTCCCATTGCTGCTGCCAGGCCCGTAATCTGCCATGGGCCCCCGTACCGACTCCTCATGCTGCTGCCAGGCCCGTAATCTGTCATGGGCCCCTGTACCGCCTCCTCATGCTGCTGCCAGGTCCAGAGTGTGTCATGGGTCCCTGTACGGCCTCCCATTGCTGCTGCCAGCGTAATCTGCCATGGGCTCCCGTACCGACTCCTCATGCTGCTGCCAGGCCCGTAATCTGTCATGGGCCCCTGTACCGCCTCCTCATGCTGCTGCCAGGTCCAGAGTGTGTCATGGGTCCCTGTACGGCCTCCCATTGCTGCTGTCTCCATCGCCACACTCTGCCATGTGCCACTTTCAGGTCTCACACTGCTGGTGGGTTCCATTTTGTCATAGGGTGCTGGCAGATTACGGGCCTCCCATTGCTGCTGCCAGGCCCGTAATCTGCCATGGGCCCCCGTACCGACTCCTCATGCTGCTGCCAGGCCCATAATCTGTCATGGGCCCCTGTACCGCCTCCTCATGCTGCTGCCAGGTCCAGAGTGTGTCATGGGTCCCTGTACGGCCTCCCATTGCTGCTGTCTCCATCGCCACACTCTGCCATGTGCCACTTTCAGGTCTCCTCACACTGCTGGTGGGTTCCATTTTTTCATAGGGTGCTGTATGGCCTCCCATTGCTGCTGCCTCCACCGCCACACTGTGGCTCCACACTCTGGTTTTGGCCCCGTGACTGCCCAAATGAGTGAAGTGTGCGGTGATTCTAAGATCGACGGCACTCATCTGCATGTCATACTGACTGACAGTATTATTTCTCTTCCCCAGCAGACTCCAAGGGCATTTAAATTAAAGGTACAGTGTTCTGCACTAATATATAAGGCTCTCTGAAGCCTAGAAACACCCTTTTTATAAGTTAAATTCGCAGCGAATATATTCGACTCGAATCGAATTTATTCCGCGAATTTGCCGAATCAGCCGAATCGAATTTTTGAATACTTCGCTCATCTCTAATTAAAATATCAAATGATGAATTCACATTGATAGAGCACATGATCTATCGGGAACGATCTTTTGAAAACCATTATTCTATCAATATGTATTATGATAAGTTGTTTGATACACAAGCAAATATTCGTTCAATCAGTCAGAAATGTTCAATGAACTTTGGTCACTGCTGCTTGACTTACTACAGGACATAGAGCAGGCATATTAATCCCTGTTTGATGGGTTATGCTCCACCTATAGGTGAATGGGCGATGACAAAAAATTCATATAATCTTCTATATAACGCCTACCATATAGGAAGTGTTTTTTTGCCATTGTCTGAAGGTGATGGTCACAGATGTGCAGCTCACTACACAATATTGCCAGATTCTCAAAAGGCTGCAGCAGAGTTTAGGAGATTGGTGATATTTGGATCCATTCCTACAGCTGTGATGCTCAGATGCGTGGAATAGGATGACACATGGGGATTGCCTGTAATGTGACTATTTGGTGCTAGACCCTGTGTATAAGGGACCTCTGCACAGTAATAACTTACCAAGGTGTTTCCAGTAGGATGCTTTACAGGTTGAGGGCAGTGGACCCCAAGAAAGGGGGATCAGGTTCCTGAAGGTTTTGAGTGACATGGCCCACCATGATGGGTGAAAAGTGGACCCTTAGCATTAAAGCAATAGGTTCTGCAGTGAGATTGTAAGTGCCTTGGTAGCCTGTTGGTACTCATAGATGATGATATCATCCTCTCCCTTTCACTCTGCATAGGGTCCTATTATGTGTGCTTCTAGGATGATCAGCCTAGGAGTCAGCTGCTGGGGTTAAATGTAAAGACTGCTGAGGGAGAATACTCTGAATAACCTGCAGAGCTCTGTGGCTGCTGCAGGAATTAAATATATGTTAATGCTTCTGTGCCTGGATTTAAGTGGCATTGCTGGCATTGGATAGGTGTATGTTGCATGCACGACTTCCAGGCATGATGTCATTGGAAATGATAGTGTTACTCGGCCGCCATGTTTACGTCTGGAAGAGCACATTCATACAGTATTACAGTGATGGAAACAGTCCAACAGAAGTTATAACAACAGGGTCAACAGCAACAACATAATTTTGTGTGTGACAGGTTGAAATGAAATGTACTTGTCCTTGGCCAGGTAAGGAAACCCATTAGAGGAGGGCACTGGCATTAATGTCTATTCGGCTGATGGTGATTACATCCACAAATATCTCATTGTTAAGTCAGCAAGCCTCACGTCTTACAGATGGCAGAGAAGTGGGGTGCAGAGGGAGAGGAGTATTCGCAAGTACCCCCATCAGGTCACATATGATTCTAGATGGCCCCAGAGGGTCTGTGGTTTTCAGATGGTTCTGAACCCATTTCCCTAGCAGAGATTGTGGCTATGTCTGGCACACCAGGTTATGTGATGAAGGAGGATCTGTCAGCTGCTTTAGCAGGATTAGAATGTAAGCTTTTGAGGACATACAATTATGAGACGATATTGTCAAAAGTGGGGATAGTTCCCTTCTGTTTCCTCTCAATGGTTAGAGGAGGAGTGGGTGGATGATGATCAGATGGTCTGCATTCATCTGGAAGTCCATCTTTGAGATTGTGGCAGCTACCAAAAGGCCCCTGCCTTTTTCGCTACACTCTCATCTTAAGGAGTTAGTGAATGCAGGTTGGGGCACCCTAACAATGTGGCCCACCTGGTGGTTCTCCCCACATGAAGCATGCCTTCCTCTGCCTTGTGGACAAGTGAGGCCACCCCCAACAAGAGCAGCTATCTTAAGGGGGATATGAAGCGTCTGTCTAGGAGGTTGGTCTCAGGCAGTAAAGGTAACCTTGGGGAAGGTTCAGTAGAGTTCTTCGGGCTCTTTGTTTTTGCTGTGAATGTTCCATTTAGCAATTTTTCACGCTTGGGACGTTGTCCACGCATATTTATGCTTTTTTAATATGTTGCTTCTATGAATCTGCAAAAAAGATTGTTGCTGTTCAGTCTCTCAATTTACCTTCTTTTGCAAGGGGTGGTAATGCAAGTTCCAGAGGCCAAAAAGTTCCTTGGGTGTTCCTTGAATCTTTTCATGGTCCCAGAGCCAAAACAGCAATGTTAGCCCAATACGTAACTTCAAGAATCTCAAGAGGTTTCCCCATGTGTGGAGGTTTTGAAAGGAGTCAGTGCATACAGTGCTAACTTTGCTCCAGTCAGGAGACTTTCTTGCATTGGTTAACATAAAGGATACCTATCTCCATGTCCCTATATTTCTTCCTCATCAGAACTTTTTATGGACTTGCGTTTTCAGTTCATGATTGCAAAGGTCCTTGCTCTGATTCTGAGCCTGTTAGGGGTCCAGTGGGTGCCCATTCTGGGGTATCTGGATGATCTGTTGCTTAGAGAGCAATCTGTTAATTAACATAGGCACAATGTGTTCCTCACAGTTCAAACTCTGGGAAGGTTTGGCTGGGTTCTCAATCTCTAGATATTGTCATTGGTGCTGGCCCAGAGGCTGGCATATCTGAGATTGCTCTTGGACACAGTCCAGATGGAAGTTTTTCCGGATGTATTGCCCTGAAAAATAAGGTGTCTTTCCTCAGAACCCAGAGATGTCCCTCTATTTGTCTCTGTATGCGAGTATTGGGGAAGATGTTTGCCTCGTTCAAGGCAGTTCTTTTTGTTCAGTTCCATTCCAGGCCGCTGCAGCAGGATATGCTGTTGGCATTAACAAGAGAACTCAGTTGCAGGGCTCTCTCTGTGTCCTGGTATGCTACAGTCGCTAGACTGGTAGTTGTCTCTTCTGAGGTTGTACACAGGAGCATTGTTTTTCCCTATTTCTTGGAAAGTGCTGACAACAGATGCCAGACTGATAGGATTACGATAAGTAATGGGTCACCTTTCAGTGCAGGGGACTTGCTCTCCACAGGAAAGGTCATTACCCATAAATATTCTTGAGTTTTGTACGATCCACAAGGTTTTTTCTACACTGGGAAGACTAATTGTGGGGCCTTCAGTTATCAATCATCACGGGGACACCAGGAGTTGTGCTGCCTAAGGAGAGGTGAATCTCATCTTGTTATGAGCAGAACTGCATGTTTCCGCTCTGTCTGCAGTTCACTTTCCAGGAGTGGAAGATTGGCAGGTGTTTTTTTTTCTCAGATGCCGGCAGTTGTCTCCTGGAGAGTGGTCACTCCACCCGGGCATGTTCAAATCACTTTGTCGATGGTGGGGCACACCAAATGTGGATCTGATAGTATTCAATGCAAAATTGTTTCCAGGCCATTGCAGTCATCAGGTGATGCAGTGGATATATTGGTGACACCATGGGACCAGTTCTCTTTGGTATGTTTTCCCACCAACACAGCTTCTTCCACATGAGTTGCACAGGATTCAGGTGAAGGAAGTACTGGTGATTCTTATTGCATCGTCTTGGCCCAGGAGAAAATGGTATTCCAACATTGTAAACATGTTGGTGGAATATCTTTGGTGTTTTCTGGCACATGGCCCGATCTTTCATCCTTCTTTACAGTTGCTGGCTTTATTGGCTTGGCCATTGACACCGGAGTTTTTGAAGGATAAAGGCATGTGTGATGCAGTCATTCCCACATTATTAACGAGCCAAGAAGATTACTCCCAGTAAGATTTTCTGCAGGATCTGGAAATATATTGTGCCCTGGTGTGAAGCTAGGAAGTTCTTCCCTTGCAAGTATGTTGTGTACTGGATCTTGGCTTTCTTCAATTTGGTGTCAATTTGAAATTGGCCTTGGGTACCATCAAGGGACAGATTTGGCCTTGGCATTTTTGTTTCTCAAGCTGATTGCTTTTCTTTTTTTAGTCCGTGTCTTTGTTCAAGGAGTCCCACATAAGGTTACTTTGGTTAGGTCACTCCGATCCCTATGGGATCTCAATTTTGTGTTGTCTGTTTTACATATACCACCATTTGAACCAATTCAGGACTCAGAAGGTTGTGTTTCTGCTTACTTCAGCAAGAAGGGTATCGGAAGTGCCGGCTCTTTCTTGCAGGTAGCTGTTTCTAGTACTCCACCATGACAAGGTGGTTCCATCCATTTATCTTAATAAGGATATTGTTTGCTTTCTTAGTTTGCCAGACCTCAGTCACAGGGGACATAGCCCTATACACATTAGTTGTGGTTCAGACTTTCAAAATGTATTGATATTGACTGTTGCAATCAGGCAACCAGATTTGTTTTGTGTCCTCCCTGAAGGATCAAAAAAGAGTCAGGCAGCTACTAAAATGACCATATCCCATTGGATTTGTGAGCTCTTTTCCCAAGCTTTTAATTTGAAAGGTAGGGTTCCACCATTTCCAGTGACAGTTTATGCTACCAAAGGTATAGGTACCTTCTAGGCTTTCTGTCATCAGGCCTAAGTGGTTTAGATTTGCTTGGTCAGAACTTGGTCTTTTGTTCCCACCTTTTACAAGTTTGCCAGGTGGATGTTAGAGCCACTGAAAAGACTGCTTTTTGACTGCAGTGTATTGCAGGCTACTGTTTAGATTCATTTTGGCCTGTTAGTGGTGATGTGTGAACCCCCCCCCCCCCAATGAGCATTACTTTAGGAAAACCCATCAAGTAAGGATTAATATGGCTGCACTGTGTCTTGTGATGTACAATAAAGAAAACTGGAGTTCTGTACTAACCAGTAAAATTGTTGAGTGTTTATTTTAACTGTGCAGTTTGCTGCGTTTTTTTTTTGCCATGCTTTGGGTGCCATTAATAATGAGACTGCATTCACACTATAGCAGAGCATAAATGCTTGCAGTGTTATTCATTCTTAATGATGGTATCCTTAATGCAACAAACAGATAAATTTGGCAAAATGTCCAAAGGTTGATGCTCAAACAGGCGCATTAGCGTTCAGTGATATTAA